GTTCATCGTCGTGATGTTCCATGTTGATTTCTGTTGATTTTTGGCAATGAGTCACTGTTAAACGGTACTTTTAGGATCGGCACTGCGTATACTTTTGCGTCTGTTTTCGCGCCCGGATTATGTAAGTGCGCGGACTTGTTATCGATTAAATTTTCTTTTTGATGGCAGTGGGTCTTTAATCCACGAAGTCCCTGATTTCGGTTTTCTTGAAGTTTCCACGAAAAATCCTTTAAAGTCCCTGCTCGGGCGCCACTTGTAATGTCCTATTTCAGGCTGAGGTATGCATCAGCCTGTCCAGGGTCCTGAATTACAAGATATTTCTAATTCACGAGGACTTTATCGGGAAACCAGGAACTTTGCCAGAAACTGAAATAGAAATCACAACACTTTTTGGTTCTTTTAATTTTTAATGGTTTTCTTTATTCTTACGTCTTCTTCCGTATGATTATTCTACCCGGTTATGTTATGTTTTAATTGTGCTATGACGCGTATGGTAGTTTGATTCGACTGCCGCCCGCGATGGCTGATTGACTGCCTCCCCCGATGGCTGGTGGACTGCCTTTTTATAGATCGGCCGGCCTTCCATGAATGTCTTATAGATATCTTATTTCTACTCCAGACCGTGGGAGAGGTTCTTACATAAGTATCTATGGTCGAGGTATAGTCTGCGCGCGTAGACGGGCTGATCGGTAACAGAAGGTTACCTAATCATTTGCCCTGCAGTCAATGTCCAAGTTGGAGACTGCTGACGCTTGCGCATGTGGGGGGTTTTGCTCGGTAATCGAGAGTTACCGAAGCAATCGCCTCCCAATAGGTGTCCAATGTCCCCGGTAAGGTGATCGATATGCACCGGTACCGTGGGAAAGGAATGTAACTTTAGGGAAATTTGAGATTCTTACTTGGCTTTTATTTATATGGTTATACATTTAAAGATATTTAAAGAGGTTTTACTTAGCGTTCAGTTATGCGATTATACATGTAGAGATATTTAAAGAGGTTTTACTTAGTATTCAGTTATGCGATTATACTTGTAGAGATATTTAAAGAGGTTTTACTTAGTTGTGACGAACCATGGGGAACCATGGTTCGTTACAAGGTATGCGAAGGCGAATGGTTCCATGTCTGGTCCGATCACCGCATCTAAAGCTCTTTGAAAAGTTGCCGGTGCTGTTGTTAGTCCGAATGGCATGACTTTCCATTGGAACCCCCGGCCCGGGGGGAAGAGGGGAATATTGTCGGCCTTGTAACCCCCCCCGCGGGGGGGGAATGGGGTATATTGGTTTGTTTGTTTTTCCATTGGGATTTGCCAATATCCTGATTTTAGGTCTAGCGTACTTATATACTTTGCCTCTCTAAGCTGGTTTAGAATAAAATCCATTCGTGGCATCGGGTACGCGTCTTTCTCGGTTTTCTCGTTCAGTAGCCTGTAGTCCACACAGAGTCTCCATTGATCTGTTTTTTTCTTTACCAAGACTACCGGTGCGCTGTATGGGCTCCGTGAGGCTTCTATAAGGTCCTGTCTGTTTAGTTCGTCAATTTCCCTATTAATAATCTCCATTTGTGCTGGGTTTCTTGGGTAATAGCGTTGCTTAATTGGTCTATCATCCTTTAAGTATAATCTATGTGTTGCTATATTACTTACTCCTTTTAATGTTTCGAACTTCTGTACTTCTTTCGAGATCCAATCCTTTATTTCGTCGTCGCTTGGCTCCGGCTGTGTCGAACCTGCTTTTTCCCCCGATGGGCTCGGGTATGCTTCCCCGCTGATCGTTACTGTGGCTGCGCCACATGTGATTATTGCTCCCGCGTTTCTTAGGAAATCCATCCCTAATATCGGGGTGTCCGGAACTCCAGTCATGATTAGGAATGATTGACTGGTTTCCCGTCCTCCAAGTTCTACTTTTGTTTCGAAATTTTTTGTTGTTCTCCGTGTGCTGCCATCCGCTAGTCGTATTAGTCTCCTTTCTGTTCCTTCTATTCCTTCGCGACTTAGACTCTTGGCAGTGTTTTCGTTGACCATACATCTCGTGGCGCCTGTGTCGATGATTACTTCCATCATTTATTTTCCGACTCTGGCCCACCCTAGGAGCTGATTGTCCTCGTACTTTAGTTGGGTTGTGTCCCGCTGGTTTCGTTCTGGGTCCCGGATGTTTCGCGGTTTTGTTCCGGACCCTGGCCGTTTCCCTGTGGCTTCCTGCAGCAGTCTAAGGTCCGTACCCCTTGTTTGTTGCATGTCCAGCAGTACAGTATTGGTTCTCTGTTGCATGTTCGGCTTTCGTGTCTGTTTTGTCCACATCGATGGCATTTTGGTAGTCTCCACTGTGGTCGTTGCCCCAGTGTCTGGTTATTCTGCTGAGTACTGGACGTGGTTTTGGACAGGCCTGCATCTCTCTCCAGTTTCTCAAACTCCTCCGCTGTTATAATGAATTCCGCTAGAGTCTGGAATTCTTTTCTTTTCACATAGAGTTTGATCGGTAGCCTACAATTCCGGTATGCCATGTCTAGTTTCTCGTTCTCGGTATACGTCCCGAATCTCATCAATTTTCTCAAGTCTTGAATAACTCTCGTATTGTCTCCGTTTCTGATTGTTTCCGTTCCGATACTATCTTTATAAGCTCTTCATGGTATTGTGGTGACATGAAGTTCTCCTTCAGCTGGCTTTTCACCTCCTCCCATGTTGTTATGGGGCCGGGTTTCGTGTGCCACCAGTCCAATGCACTCTTCTCCAGTATTACCGGCATTGCAAATACTATGTGATCTATCTCGATCCCGTATGTTTCTGCTAATTCCTCCATCCTACTGAGGAATTCGAGTAGTTCTCCATTCCCAGTGAATGTGAGGTCCCACTTCTTTATTTTATCTATTATGGCCACTGCTTCTGGTGATCCTTTCAGTATCTGCTTTGGAAACAAAGCTCTCTTTTTTGCCGTTTTCGGTTCCCCTTGCGGTTCTTTCATAGCTGGCTTGGCTTGTGTTATTACTTTCGGTGATTGTTTTGGGCTCCTGCCTCTTGTCTGGGTTGTTCCGAGCTGTTCCAGCCTCTCCAGTATTTCCTTACTTAGATCCTTTCTTTCCGTGAACTGAATTAGTTGTTTCCTTAATGTTTCCACTCCTTCAGGCTTCTCCAATCCAAATTCCTCGCAGTAGCTGATCAGTTCTGCTTTTGTTGCTTGGTTGATCCACACTTTTGCCATCTTGACCATAAATGAGATTTCAATTCTAAGCTACCACAACCTGCTCGGGCGCCACTGTGACGTTGCTTCGGCCGGGGTATGCTCGCCGCGCCGGGTTCACAGAAATTTGTTAGGTTTCTGGCTGTGGTAGCTGAAAGGGATATCTCGGTTCAAGAATAACGCAAGCAAGTTGTAAGTTAAAAAAAGTTTCTTTATTGGTCTTAATTGTACAGAGTTGGAAATAGGTTGGATCGTGGGGACGTGTCTTCCTTCGGGATCTTCCTTCGGTTTTGGCTACTCGGCCGCACGTGGCTGTTTGCGACGTGCTGCGCGGGTTTGGAGGTCGAATGGTTCGAGGGTACTCCGACGAGAGTATGGAGGCGGAGGTTTGAACACACTCCGAGGAGAAGATCGGTGCGGAGGTTGGGACACACTCCGAGGAGATGATTGCTGCGGAGGTTTGAGCATGCTCCGAGGAGAAGATTGATGCGGAGGTTTGGACACGCTCCGAGGAGAAGATTGGTGCAGAGGTTTGGACACGCTCCGAGGAGAAGATGGATGCGGAGGTTTGAGCACCCTCCGAGGAGAAGATTGATGCGGAGGTTCGAGCACACTCCGAGGAGAAGAGTGATGCGGAAGTTTGGACACGCTCCGAGGAGAAGACTGATGCGGAGGTTTGAACACACTCCGAGGAGAAGGGTGATGCGGAGGTTTGGACACGCTCCGAGGAGAAGATTGATGCGGAGGTTTGGACATGCTCCGAGGAGAGGATGGATGCGGAGGTTTGGACACGCTCCGAGGAGAAGATTGAGGCAGAGGTTTGGACACACTCTGGAGAGGATTCAGAGGTTTGGACACACTCTGGAGCGGATTCAGAGGTTTGGACACACTCTAGACAGGATTCAGAGGCTTGGACACACTCTGGAGAGGATTCAGAGGTTTTGACACACTCTGGAGAGGATTCAGAGGTTTTGACACACTCTGGAGAGGATTCAGAGGTTTTGACACACTCTGGAGAGGATGCAGAGGTTTGGACGCACTCTGGGAAGGAGAGGTAAAGTATTGAGCAGAACGAGTGGAAAGGTAGATATTACCTTTGGCACAAGATCCGCTGTAAAATTCTGGTTTATTAGGCCAGGGCTTTCTGAGTTGGACTACCCCGATTCGATCTGGCGATCCTCCTTTTATTGCCGGTGATCAGCTGTGGGTGCCCCGATATGGGCCTAACGCGTTCTGGTTTTTGCCATAACGCGTCCCGGCCCAGCTGTTAGTGTGACCGTGTTCGGTGCGCGTTGGTCACACTAGTCTTTGGCGCGCGTGTTCCTGGTTTGGATTTGAATTTAAATGTTTAACGTTTTTTTTCTTAGTTATTTATTGGAAGGAACTTCATGGTTTTTGTGTCGCTTATAAATATGTGATAATAGGTGGTATGTGATATGTGTTATGTTTATATGTAATGGTAATGTCTGTAATTGTAGGTAATTTGTATGTTGCAATGTGGCGCCGGCGCTTTTTTGTGGTGGCGCTGGGCGTCACACCAGGAAGCACAGGTGGCACGTGGGAAAAGGTCACGGACCCGACCAACCTCCGATCGCCCGCTCAGGCGGTGTCCCGGTCAACGGGACGTCGTGGACCGGGGAGGGGCGGTTTATCCCCCATCGTGAAGCCTAGGGGAAATCTGTGGCCAGCGCGGGAGCCACCCAGTGCAGACCAAGAAGCAGAAGGGATGGAAGCAGCAAACCCTTTCGCGGGCAGCTCGCTCATCCGTTCGCCAGCATCCACTTCAACTCCAGCAGCGGAGGCAAGTCATACAGCGAGGTACTGGCCATGGTGACTAGGAGGGAGGACAAGCAGCTGTCGGACCTGGGAAGCTGCGTCAGCAAGGTACGCCGTACCATCAACGGCAATCTTCTGCTGGAGGTGGCCAAAGATAGTGCGGAGAGCGCTGAGGCCATGAAGGAGAGCATCGCGCGGGTCCTCGGCGATGTAGCGTCAGTGCGTGCCATGACGGAGGATAACAAGGTGGTAGTGCTGGAGATACGCGATCTCGACTCCCTCGCGACGGAGCGGGAGATCTGCGCCGCTATCGCGAGCCAATTTGGAATTGAGGAGAGACGAGTGAGAGTGCGGAGCCTGCGCCGCAGCTACGCAGAGTCACAGATGGCAGCGGTCAGCTTGCCTTTCTTCTTGGGCAAAGCCGTCCTACATCGCGGTGAGGTGCGGATCGGTTGGACCGTCTGCAGGATCCGGGAGAGAGAAGGTCTCCCAAGGTGCTACCGATGCCTGGAACCCGGGCACATTGCGGGTAACTGCAAGAGCACGGTGGATAGGAGCGGCTTCTGCATCAAATGCGGAGAGCAGGGGCACAAGGCAGCCGAGTGCAGCAATGAGCCATCGTGCTTCATCTGCTCAGCAGCTGGAAAGAAGGAGGTCAGGCACCAGGCTGGCAGCAGAAGCTGCCCAGCCTCAAGCAGCGGGGTCGGAAACTCCAGATCAAAATGCAGGTGATTCAACTCAACTTGAATCACTGCAGAGCTGCGCAGGATCTCCTGGAGCAGACGGTGCGCGAACTGGGTTCGGAGGTGGCAATCCTCAGCGAGCCTTATAGGGTGGGCAGCAGCAGCGAATGGGCCACGGACCGCTCTGGCAAAGCGGCCCTGTGGCTCTGCGGGGCGGAGGCGCCACAGATGCGCGACACAAAGTCGGCAGAAGGATTCGTCCGTGCGAGTGTAGGCGGCATCTGGCTATATAGCTGCTACTTGGCACCTAGTCTCTCGCTGGAAACATTCAGCCGGATACTGGATGAGCTGAGTAGCGACCTGCGAGGACGGAGCAACGTCGTGGTCGGGGGCGATTTCAACGCCTGGGCCCAGAAATGGGGGTCCTCCCGAACAAATGCCAGAGGCCGCACGGTGCTGGAGGCTTTCGCCTCTCTGGATGTAGTCCTGCTCAACGAAGGGTCCCAGCAGACCATCAAAAGGGCAGGCGAAGGGTCGGTAATCGACCTAACATACGCCAGCAGCTCGCTGGCACGCCACGCCCGATGGTGGATCAGCGATGTCTACACCGCCAGCGACCACGAGGCCATCGAGTGTTCGGTAGGCATGCCCCGGCGAGGGGGTGGGACTCCACCCCGGCAGAGGAAGGCGTACCGGCAGGACACCCTGAGGGCGGAGTCCTTTGTAGGCACTCTGGAGAGCTACACGGCAACCGAGACTGATGGAGCCAACGAGAGGGCGAACAGACTGGCTGCCGCAGTGGAAGGTGCCTGCGACCAGAGCATGCTTCTGAGGCGGTCGTTCAGGAAGCACCACGCCCCGGTGTTCTGGTGGAGTGAGGAGATTGCAGAACTGCGCAGAACGTGCCTCCGCGCCAGAAGGCTACTGCAATGTGCCAGGGGCACTTCGCGCCTAGACCCCTGCATCGAGCGCTACAAAGCGGCGCGGAAAGAGCTGAAGAACAGGGACAGCAAACGGGAGTGCTTCCTCAGGCTGTGCGACGCAGCGGAAGCAGATCCCTGGGGATGCGCCTAACAAAAGTGGTGAAGAGGCTCAACACGGGCGGCAAAGCCCCAACTGATCCCGTGGTACTGGAGGGGATAGTCAGGGACAGGCACAATCCAATCGCAGAGGTCGATTAAGTACCTGGGTGTCCACATCGACACGAGACTGTCCTTCAAGGAGCTCCTGGAATACGCCCACCGGAAGGCCAGCGGGACCGCAGGATCGCTCTCTCGAATACTGCTAAACACCAGAGGCCCAAAGCAGCCAACGCGGAAGCTGCTGACGAGCGTCGTGACGTCGCAAATGCTTTACGCCGCGCCAGTGTGGGCAGAGGCAGCGAAGGTAAAAACTTATATGCGAGGGCTGGAGGCCACGTATAGGATATGCGCCATCAGAATCACGTGCTCGTTCCGAACCATCTTGGACGAAGCAGCGCTGGTCATCGCCGGGCAAATCCCCCTCGGTGAGCTGATACGGGAGAGGAAGGATATTCACGACGCCACTCACGATAGAGAAGCGGCCCACACAGTGGCCGAGCTGAAGGTTGCCGCCAGGAGGAGCAGCTTGGAGAACTGGCAGGCAAGGTGGGACAGCTCACAAAAAGGGCGCTGGACGCACACCCTCATCCCGCGCATAGCGTGCTGGGGCAGGTAGACTTCTACCTCACCCAGGCTCTGAGCGGGCACGGCTGTTTCCGCAGCTACCTCAAGCGCTTTGGCCACGAGACGGAGGATTGGTGTCCAGAGTGTGGCACTGGTATAGTGGAAGACGCTCAGCACGTTCTTTTTGAGTGCCACAGGTTCGGCTACGAGCGGCAGGAATTGGAAGCCACAGCAGGGGCAAGAATAAGCGCGGAAACTCTGGTGCCGCTGATGCTGGCTGAGCCAAGAGTTTGGGAAGCGGCCGCGGTGTTCGCCTGTAGCGTGATGAGAACGCTCAGGTCCCTGGAGAGAAGGTGTCCTCGCGGCGGCGAAGCAATGCTTTGCGGCAGTACCGCTCGACGCACGACCCCTACCCCCCATCACCCTCTTGTCCATCACCCTTACTGTTATTGTTATTGTTACTAGTTGTAAGCCAAGCTAAAGTTAAAATATATGAATACAAAAAAAAAAAAACCTCGGCGTGGGCGCAGTCCTTACGCAGGAAATCGAAGGAAGTCATAAGGAAATACGTACGCAGCTGCACCAGCTGCCAGAAGTTTCAAGCCCAGCAACGCAAGCCGGTGGTTAAGATGATCATTCGGAAGGCAGAGGAACCATTTGCAACGCTATGCGCCGATTTCGTTGGACCACTGCCACGATCCAAGAAAGAGAACACCATGCTGCTTGCATTCCACGACACCTTTACTAAATGGGTAGAACTGGTGCCGGATACTCAGCCACTACGGAGTTCCGAAACAATTTGTGTGTGACAACGGTACACAATTTACGAGCCGGTCGTTCCAGACTTTTCTGCAAACGGCAGGGATAGAGTTGCAACACACCGCCCCGTACTTTCCCCAGGAAAACCCCACGGAACGAGCCAACAGAACGGTCAAAACCATGATTGCTCAGTTTGTGGGGGGACCACCAGAACACTTGGGCCGTGAACTCCAGTGTCTCGGAAACAACCGGATTTAGCCCAGCCTTTCTATTGTAAGGGAGAAGCCCGCCAGACACCGCGCTCCGGAAGGCGGCGCGGCTCAAGGAAGTGTGTGAAAAATAGCATCCAGCGAGCCAGCCACGAGCAGGCAAGACACTAAAATCTCCGTCGAAGACAATGGCACCTCAAGGTGGGCACTTTGGTAATGATGCGACAACATCATCTGTCCAACGCCGCCGACGGCTTCGCTGCAAAACTGGCCCCGAAATATGACGAGGATTTAGATCAGCCAACATCATATAAATACAACACCTCAGCACCCGGAAGCAGAAAATCGCTAACATCAATGATCTGAAAGAATACCACGAACACGACAAGGGAGAAACTGCGAACGAAGCAGACACCACGGCTGACCTTTAAACAAAACAGAGCGGTAAGAGGGGCATGACCGGTCACAAAATGGGGCTGACAGAGCCCAAACGATCGGCGGACCCACATCGAAAGGGCACCGACCCCTAAAATGCAAACTCCGCACGCCACGCGCGGACAAACCATCCCGGAAGAAAAAAATGACCTAAAAATTAAAACCGGCACATCGAGATACACCGACCCCTAGGATGCAAACTCAGCACAAGCGACCGAAACTACTAAGACACGAAAGGGCACCGACCCCTAAAATGCAAGCTCCGCACGCCACGCGCGGACAAACCATCCCGGAAGAAAAATGACCTAAAACCACTGCACAAGATACACTATATATAGCTGGACCATGACGATAGTCAAACAACACATCTTCACTAACCACCGACGCACCGGTCAACAAGCTAACGCATCACCAAGTATTCACCCAAAGAGATAACACCACGATGTCACCACTCCTGATAGTCCTGATCCTCACCACCACCACACAGGCAACGGTAAAAATCAACGACTACACCAACGCCGACTACGTACCCGTGGTGGATGGAGACGCCGTCCTGTGGGAGGAATATGGATACATTCATAACCTCCTACGAGGCATACCTGGCGCAGGCGGAGGAGTCCGCAGCATTGTTTCCTGGAATCCGGATCGCCACTATCCTCACGGCCGACCTCGAGCACATCAGGACCCTCGTGGGGACGCTGAAAACCCACCACCGGGGAACCAGAAGCCTGAACCTCCTCGGAACCGCTCTAAAAGTCGTCGCCGGAACCCCGGACTTTGACAACTGGGAGCAAATTCGATTCAAGCAAGGTCAGCTGATTGAATCCGAGACAGAGCAAAGGAGGGTCAACTCGAAACTACAAAACCGGCTCAACGAGCTGACCAGCTACATGAACAGCCTAGTGCAAGCGGAAACCACAGGACGAACCCAGCTGACGGAGACGATACTTGCAAAGAACCGCGTCATCATCAATGACCTGCAGAACTTAATCTTGGGCCTGACACTGGCCAAAGAGAACATCATCAGCCCGACGCTACTGGATGGAGCTGACCTCCAAGAATTTGAGGAACAGCAGCTAACCGATATCAGGCTGGTCGAGCTACTAGGGGTTTCCAACATCAGCGTTTTCCAGAGCCCGGACTTACTAACCTTTCTGATCAAGTTCCCCCAACCGAAGCGGATCTGCCGGAAGGTGACGATCTTCACTGTGCAACACAAGCGCAAGATCCTGGACTTCAGCGAGGGAAACGCCGTCGCGGAATGTGGAAGTCAAACCATCAGCCTAGGGACGTGCGAGACCGCCATCGGCGCCACGTTCTGTAAAGAACGACAAGAACCCACCTGCGCTCAGCAACTAGTGGCGGGGACCACCGCCCACTGCACTACCCTACCCGGCCACCTGGACGCAGTCACCATAGTGGATCATGGCACACTGATCCTAAATGACGCCGTCGTGACCGTGAGGGACAACACAGGCGAAACTAAAAACGTCTCCGGCACATACCTCGTGGCATACACTAGCCGAGTCTCCATCAACGGGACGTGGTATGTGAACCGCTTGGGGGGATCTCAGAAGAAGGCAATGGTCGCCTCGATGACAACAGTAAACGTCACGGGGCACCATGACAAGCTAAGCCTGCCGTTCCTGAGAGAGCTGAGCATGGAGAACTTGAGGAACATTGAAATGCTGACGATCCATAGCGCCACCTCACACCTCCTCACCTGGGTCGTCGCCGTGATACTCTGCGTAAGCATATGGTGCTTACGAAGGCGACTCTACAATCGGGCTACCAACAACGACGCAACGGATTGTGAAGCAGCGGCACCAGAAACACCAACCGGCGTCCCAGCAACAACCACCATCTGCACCAACCAAACGCTGACGGTGCACAAACAACCAGCAACGGTTACGCATCCACTTCCAAGCCGAATCAACACTAGAAGTCACGCCAGCCTGGGCCCTCGCCTAGCCCGGGAAGACTAACCGCCAACTCCGCAAAAATAAAATAAAGCTGACCACGACCTCTGTCCACGGCGCCAACCTACAACCACTGTGGACCCGAGAAGTCGGCACATATAAATATAAGCGCCAGGCGACAGCCAACCAGAAGAACATCGATTCCCGAACAAAACAAACAAACCCAACAGCACTCAAGATGAACCGGATAAACGAAGCCTCCCCCATCCGCATTTACGACACCGACAGCGAACCAGAGGATTCCATCTCAGCAACGACGTCCGGCAACGACACCACCTCAGAGACGACGTCCGGGAGCGACACGGACGACAGCTCCTCCGAGTCGTCAACCCCTCAGAAGTCCCGGTTCACCCGGGAGAACCTATGGTCCCCCCTCCCCGACCAAAATTCCCGACAACGGAGTGGAGAAATCCACCCCGAGAGGACACCTCGACCCCGGGCGACACGGGAGACAGCGCCTACGCCACGGAAGGGACGAGCTCCGATCCCGAGAAGACCACTCCTCGGCGGGACCCCCGGCAAGGCCGAGGAATCTATCAAAACAACGAGGACGCCGAGGGCAGCACCCTGCCGAACGACCAGGCCGAGGAGGACGCCTCGGCAGATTCGAGCAGAGAACCAGACAACAACGAAACTTTCAGTCATCAAGTAACCGAGGACAAGACGACGATAACTCAGGTGCTGACCCCATGGGGGGTCAGAACCACCACGGTCCACGTACGGACCGTGGAAACCACGTTAGCAGTAACCCGGAGGCCCTTCCCCCATGATGACAGCACCACATCAAAACGCAGCCGATGCCACTAATCCATATTGTACTTTGGTAGTCAAAAATAAAAAGAATCCGGAGACTCGGCACAAGCCAAAGGACAGGAAAAAGGGGAACCTCAGCACCCGCCAAGCGACGCCACTAATCTCTCCATCACCCACCCGGTAGAAAGGGGGGGTGTAACGAACCATGGTTCTAGCCATGGCTCGTCACAAACGGCGAAGGGTCAGCGCATCCACGCTGGCGGGAGACAATAATCTAACTGATATACACAGAGCTAGCGAACCATGACTCTAGCCACGGTTCTCCACAAATAGCGGTGTGTCAGCACCCCGGACATAAAATAGTCTTAAGCACACAATTAATTAAGAACTCTCGATCAACAACACCCCATCTCTTGGGACATTGCGAAATCGACTTATTTCACAATAAGTCAAGCCAGCATAAAATTATCGACTTACCACTCAACTTCCGCGATGCAGAGTTAGCAAAAACTCATTTCTTTTGAAAGCAAATACCCAATTCCCAACTGCACCTTCCGGGATGCAGCCTCAGCAAAACACTCTCATCACACTGACCCACTAGGCAATTGTCAACGAAGCACCAAGCTTCGACCTAGTTACCACACCCTACAATTATTATTACCCAATAACCTTAAGTCAGCAAGAATTAATTATTTCCGGGTCTCAGGTGCGATCGCCAGCTGCATAAAAGGGCCAAGATCGCCCGAAAAAGCAGGCAGTCCATCAGCCCGAATACAAGACACAGGCAGTCCATCAGCCCAAATACAAGACACTGCACAAGGCAGTCCCTCAGTCACACACCCAAGACACTGCACTAGGCAGTCCATCAGCCCGAACACGAGACACTGACTAAGCAGTCCACCGGCTCACAGGCCAAGTAACAAGATCCGCGAGTAATCCATCGTAAACCAGCCCACAAAGAATTAAGTAATAAAAATAATAAACACCAGGAAAACCAAAAACCACGATTTTCTTGAAGTATTTTTGTCAGCAACAAAACGCTCCTCCTGTGTCCTACCTCTCTTTCGGTCAGACAAGGCCGCTCCGAACCTAAAAGTTCCAGCAATCTACAAATTTTCTTGTAGCGGACAGACTGATGCTTACCTCAGCCTGAAATAGGACCTCACAACCAAAACTAATAATCCTTCGGTCACGTTTGGAGCTTTATTGGCTTCAACTTCGATTATGACTGTGTTCAGCTCCTCAAACGTCAAGGATGCTGTTTCTGTGGTTGTAATTAACAGCCTTTTCGCTGATTTTACCACAGCTTCCCAGAGGCCGCCAAACGATGGGGCCCGAGGAGGAATGAATTTAAAATCCACTTGTTTTTTGTTGCAATGATTTGTGATCAGAGCATGTGCCTTTTCGATAAATATTATTTCTTCCAATTCCTTCAGCTTGTTATTTGCACCGACAAAATTTGTGGCGTTGTCGCAATGAATAGTCTGACGCTTCCCACGTCTGCTAAGGAATCGCCGGAGTTCTGCCAAGAATGCATCTTTGGTTAAGTCACTTACTAACTCCAGATGTACAGCCTTTGTGGAGAAGCAGCAGAATACGGCAATGTATGCTTTATCTGGCCGTTTTCCTCGGATTTTATGGAGGATCATAATTTGTCCACAGTAGTCAACACCTGCATTAAGGAATGTTTGTGTGTTTGCGTGACTCTTTGTGCTGGAAGATTGCCCATGATCTGGTGCATCAGCTTTGGTCTGGCTCTGGTGCACCTAATACAGCTATGTATGATGCTTCTAGCCATCGTCTTGTCGTTGAAAATCCAATATTGTTGTCTTGCGATTGCCCTTAATGCTTGGGCACCGCAATGCAGATTTTCCTCATGAAGCTCTCGCATAATCATTTTGACTATTGGGTCGTTGTACGGTAGCAGGATTGGATGTTTTGCGTTGAACGGAATTTGAGCTCCTTCGAGTCTTCCGCCAACTCGGATGAGCTCATCATCTCCTAGTAAGGGAGATAACGAAATGATCGAACTCTTTTTATCCACTGTTTTATAGCGTTTTAATTGTTTCAAATCCGCTGTGAACTCAACTTGTTGAATCGTTCGTAGGATCATAGTGCGAGCACGCCTTAGTTCTCCTGCGCAAAGTGTCGTTGTAGGTGCTCTATTAGTTTTGTAGCAGAAGCGAAACATGTACGCTACAATACGTTGTAGTTTGTTGAACGAGTTGCTAAGTCTGCATGTGTATAACTCTTCTCCGAGAGAGCTAGATGCGATTGGCAAGCTGACATGCTTAGCCTTTCTCTCGAGATTGCTGGGCTCAATGATGGGTGGTTTTGTCCATTTATCTCCTGATCCGTGCAAGAATAATGGTCCGTATAGCCATAGACTATGATCCCTTAGCTTGCTTGCTAGGATTTCTCTTGAAAGGACATCTGCTGCGTTGTTAGTCAATGCCTGGATTTTGGCGATTCGATTTGCCACGAAGGTGTGGTATGTGGACGCCGATGCGTTAATCCAGGACAGTACAACGGTGGAATCAGTCCAGAAGCTTCCTGATACTGTGTCAAGATTCATATGGAGATCCCTTCTAAGTCGATTGGTGAGTTCGGCACCTAAAACTGCAGCGCACAGTTCTAGACGTGGTAGGGATTGTTTGGCGGTGGGTGCTACTCGAGACTTTGAGCATAATAGTCGTACAGAGACCTGATTGTTTTTGTAGGTGGCTCGTACGTACACTGCCGCGCCATAGGCTCGTTCCGATGCGTCTACAAAGGTATGTAGATCCTGGGTGACTGGTACTTTTCCATCATATACGTGCCGGGGAATCTCCATTGAGTTTAATGATTGTAGGTCCTCCCGGTACTCCATCCATTCGGTTTGGAGTTGTAATGGTAGTTCATCGTCCCAATCGAGTTAAATCTCCCACAGCTGTTGCATAAATATTTTTGCCTTGACTATCACTGGGGAAAAGAGATCCAGTGGGTCAAAGATTTGGGCCAATTCTGAGCACACGACCCTTTTGGTGATGCGTGTTGCTTGGCTTTTTGTGGTTCGTCCTCGCAGTTGGTATTGTTTTGGCATCCAAATGAGACCCAGCGTTTTCACGCTGTATTGCTCTAATGTTTCACCTAGCTTGACTTCGTTGACAACGTCCTCTTCAGGGATTCCTTGCAAGAGCTGGTCGTTGTTGGAGCACCATTTGCGGAGTTTAAGGCCGAACGGTAGCAATATTTTATTAGTTCTTGTTGAACTTGTATCGCTTCCTGAATGGTATCCGCGCCAGTCAGACAGTCGTACACATAGAAATCGTTCTTCAATGCAGCAGATCCAATAGGTAATCTGTTTTGGCTCCGAGTTGCCAAATGATCCAGACATTTCGTTGCCAGGAATGGAGCAGATGTGGTCCCATATGTGACTGTTTTTAAGCGATAGTACCTGATATCTTCAGATGGATTGTTTCTCCAGACTATCATCTGATGAAATTGATCCTTGGGATTTATCCACACTTCTCGGTACATTTTCTCGATGTCCGCTGTGAATACGTACTTATTTAAACGAAAACGTAGTAGAATTGACATAAGTTCACTCTGAACTTTGGGTCCGGCATGCAGAATGTCGTTTAGAGACTTTCCGCTTGTTGATTTACATGATGCATCAAACACGACCCGTAACTTTTTGCTGGTGCTCTCAGGTTTGAGTACACAGTGGTGTGGTATGAAGTAGTGTCTCTCCGGCACTTGTGTTGCTGGGACCATCTTCATGTGTCCAAGTCCTTCATATTCATTCATGAATTCCACATAGCCTTTTCAGGTGTATGGTGAAATCCGTCACTCTAATGCCAGGAATCTTTTCGTTGCAGTTTTCAAAGACCCCCCCCAGGGCTGAAGAGTGTTCGGAAAATGGGAGTTTTAATATTAACCTGCCATCCGATGCTGTTTGTAAGTTCTCTATAAACTGAGCTTCGCAATGTGATTCGAATGGCGTGCGTGGTGTTTCTTCCGTCTCTAAGTTGTCCAGAGTCCAGAATTTTTCCATTAGCTCGTTGAGTCCAATTGCACAAATGGATGAGGAGTTGTGTGCAGACCTGATTTTTCCTGCCACAATCCATCCCAATTTTGTATTTTGCAGCAACGGACCTCCTGACTTTGGCTGTTTTTGGTCTGGGAGTAGTAGCGAATAATAGTGTTCTGCTCCGATGAGCATGTCGACCTTTCCCGGTTTATAGAAATCCGGATCTGCCAATGGGCAATTGTTTGGTATGTTCAAGTTCAAGTACTCGTGCTCTGCTGGTCTTTGACTTACCTCCAATCCCTTCGATGCGTAATGTTGTATCATTAAGTTTTACTGACAACATTGATGCCATTCGTTCAGAGATCAGGTTGATCTCTGATCCTGAATCCAGCAAGGCTCTGAAATTGGCTCTCTGTCCTTTGTTTGCTTCTACTGCTACTTTTGCTGTAGCTAACAGGTTGTAATTATTGTTACTTGCTGCGCCAACCGTCGGTGCTCTTGGTTCTGTACTTACGCCCGATGGTATGTCCAAGTGCAGCAGTGTATTGTGTTTTTTTGTCGCATTTGAAACATGTCCGACCTGGGCATGCATTTGTTTTGTGGCTTGTTTTAAAACAGTTTACACATAATTTCTGCTTTTGTACCCAATTTAGTCGTTCTGATGGTGATTTGGAGCGAAACTCATCGCATCTGTAGAGCCAATGGCTTGCCTTCTTGCAGAATGAGCAGAGAGGCGTCTTCGATTTTCCAGTGTTTACTGTTGCACATGTTGTGCCTTTTGGCTCTTTCCTTGACATGTGTGTCTTTTTGCCTGTTCCTAGAACTCGAACTCTTTGTTCTAGGAACTGAAGCATTGTGTCCAAGGCCTGTATTTCCTTTGAGCTTCCCAATGATTGCTCGTACAAGGCTTTGTTCGTGACATCCAGCTTATTTTTGATGACTGCAATCAATATTGGATCCCATGTGGATATATTGATGCCCAATCCCTTTAGTGATGCCAGGGATTCGATAGTTGTATCGTACAACTCTTTTAATGACTTGG